TTAGTACCTGAGCTTTTAACCGCTGTCCCGCCAGCGCTCCATTGTGCCTATAGTTTTACTTTATTAGGTGCCTAGAATGGACCTTATAGCTCATGGTTTGAGGTAGTAAGTGTGTGCTTTCTTTATGGGATCCTCTTTTATCCACTTCTTAGTACTTTGCCATGAAAAACAGTAAAGAACCTGCTCAGATTTCATTAGAACCCGTTCCTGCCACCTAATATAAAATGTTTCCCAACCAAAGCCTTAGCAAAGGCCTTTTCTCTAAACATCTGTTGTAAAGTATTTAGGACAAATGCTCTTCCATGTTATTTCTATACTTTTATGCTTTGGAATGGATGATCAGCTGTAAATGATTGGAAATATTTATACAAACTTCTGTTTACTGTTAGTATGTGCCAACTGGAAGATTTCTCTAAAGAAAGGCCAAGAATTAGTGTTAAGTATATGAATTAAGGCCCAGAGTTTATTCCTTGTCTTCGTTTTCTCTAATCTTATAATTCTTTTTTGTGGGTTGTCGTAAGTTACTGTTATATTTTATGATGAAAATAAGTATGAAATTTAAAAGCAATGTGAGTACACTGCAAACTGTTTGACAATTGGGGGAAAAAAGAAAAATCACTCTTTACTATACTACCACAGCCACTGGTATTATTTTGATGATTCCCTTCCAGACTTTCTTCTGCCCATATTTTCTCCCTTGGTAATTATAATGCATATTTTATTTATTTATTAACTTATTTTCTTTACTTGTTTATTTATTAGCATTACTTTGTATACCAATCTTTGTAACATAAGTCCCTTTTTATCGCTGGTGTCAATTTGTTCATTATTGTTTGCCCAGCCTTAGCCAGAAACCCAAGAACCATTTTAAGGATAATCTTTAATTTTTTAGACATGGAAAACTATATATATTTATCTAGATAGGTACCTCTGAACAAGACACTTGTTTCAATTTAAACCTGTTTGATATCTGTCTTGACGTGTGTAAACTTATAATGGACATGAAAATAGTTCAGAAGTATACTCTGCAGAGTATCACCATCTTTAATATTCAAATTTAGCCTTGCAGATGGAACAGTATATTTAGTAGCTGTTTTAGTTATCTATGAGTTGGAATTGGGGGTTTGGTTTTTTTTTGTTTAAGTTGTCTAGTGCTGCTGTGGGGCCCTGGTGGTGCAGTGATTGTTTTTCTGCTAACCAAAAGGTTGTTAGTTCAAATCCACCAGCCGCTCCTTGGAAACTCTATGGGGCAGTTCTACTCTGTCCTGTCGGGTTGCTTCGCTATGAGTCGGAATCGACTCAATGGCAGCAGTCATCATCAGTCAGTGCTGCTATTACAGAAATACCACAAGTAGATGGCTTTAACAAACAGATTTATTCTCTCACAGTTCAGGAGGCCAGAAGTCCGAATTCAGGGCACAAGCTCCAGGGGAAGGCTTTCTCTCTTTGTTGGCTCTGGGGGAAGGTCTTTGTCATCGATCTTCCCCTGGTCTAGGAGCTTCTCGGTGCAGGGGCCCCGAGTCTAAAGGGCACGCTCTGCTCCTGGCCCTTCTTTCTTGGTGGTAATGAAGTCCCTGTCCTCTCTGCTCACTTTTCTCTATTAATCTCCAAAGAGATTGACTCAAGATACAGCATAATCCTGTAGATTGTGTCCTGCCTCTAATCCTGCCTCATTAACATAGATGTTAGGACACATGGGATAATTACATCAGATCACAAAATGGTGGTCATCCACACAATACTGGGAATCACAGCCTAGCCAAATTGACACATATTTTTGGGGAACACAATTCAATCCATAACAATAGCTATTATTTTCAACTGCATTGACAATGATGTCACCCATATTTAACATTGTTGCTTAACTTTTGTCTTGCCTACTATTTCTTTCTGCTTCAGTAATAATATTAAAATAATGGCTAACACCTATTGAGTGCCAGTCAGGTGTCAGGCATGGTACTGAGTACTTTGCATGATTTATCTTTTTTAAATCTTCACAAAAGATCTTATGAAGTAGATTCTGTTAACCCTTTAAACTAAGGCTAAGGGGTTAGATAACTGGCCTGAGATCATACAACAGATATATTGTGGGGCTAGAATTTGGATTCTGGAGTTTCTACTCCTAACCATTATGTTATTCTGCTATGAACAGAAGTTTTCACTTGTTGCAAATATATTGATTTACCATGAAAGTCTAATAAAAATATGCCAAAGAGAACCACAAATTTTATTAAACTGTGTTAAGAGTATAATAATAAACTATATGAGTGTAACTTGTAGAACAACTTCGTTGTGATTAATTTTGTTTTAAGGCAAGGAATAAGGCAGGAAACTAACTTGGGTAGAAAATTTACCTGCAAAATCCTTGATTTCCAGTATAAATGGAATTATTTTACAAAATCAGTCTTATATTGGTCTTGGCAGGCCCTGTGGAATTGATGGTGATTTAAAGTGCTGTTTCTTTATTTCTTAAATATCTCTCCATTTTGATGAATGAATCCATATGGATCTCCTGTTAATTAAGCTCCAAGGCCTTTTTCTGTGTATTCATTCTTTCCAATAGTTTTATGATCATTTTCTAAATTAATGTAATTATTTTGTTTCTAAATTACTATCAAACAGCTGACAACCAGGATTACTCTGGTCTTTCTATTTCTTTCAATTTAAGTGCTTTATTTGAATCTATGGAAGAGATTTCATGGTCTTATAGAAGGCATCTGAAATTTTGAAATGAGCGATCAGATAGGATGCTTAGTCTATTTTCTGATATTCAGCAGTTCTCATATGATCTGATATTTACTAAGAGGGGCACTTTGGCTCTCCTTGATTTCAGAGTAAATCCAGATTTGAATGATGGATCTGCTCTTTACCGGCTCAGTTACTTAAACAGAGTGTTAGTTTCTCCATCTATAAAAAGGTATAATGAAGATAATGAGATATATAAATACGTAGGAGCCCTGGTGGCACAAACAGTAAGTGCTTGGCTGCTAACCAAAAGACTGGAGGTTTGAACCTAGCCAGAGGCTCCATGGGAGAAAGACATGGTGATCTACTTTCGTAAAGATTGCAGCCAAGAACACCCTGTGGGACATTTCTACTCTGTCATGTGGGGTTGCAATGAGTTGAAATCACCTAGAGGGCACATCATAACAACATAAATACTTAGTAGAGTTATCTGGTGCATAGTAGGTACTCAGTGTTTCTTTTCTTTTCTCCCATTTTAAGAAATTTATATTAGGAGTCTTCTAGTAAACCCAAATGAATCACATAGATTATAAAAGTGCTGAAAAAAAATCTTGTATTTTCCCCTCAATGGTACACAGTTAGCATAGGGGATTACATTCCTGGGAACATTGGAAAAATAACACAAATATTCAATCTATTAGATTAAATCTGCAGAGGGTAAATTTATTGGGATCTTTGTGTTAAATGATTTTTCTTCTTCTCTAATTCTCTTTACCTCAACGTTCTGGGTAACCTTTTCTTGAATCCATAAGAAAACCTTGAGATAATAATGAATATGCATAAAACTAATTAGCTAATTCTAGGTGGTACCCTGCTTGAGACTTGTGAGCAGTTTAGCAAAGGCTAATAAGAGCTTAAGGGGTATTAGTCTTTGTTTCCTTGTCCTTCCCCTTATAATTTTACTTTGTCTCCTACTTCTGTTTCCAATAATCATGTGCTCAACACCCTCAGGAATCCAGATTAGAGAAGTGTAGGCAGCTGTGTCCTGATGTCAGAATGCCAAACATGTGAGAACTTTCTAGACGTCTGTTCTTCATCTTGTGTGTCATCTGCTTAGGGAAGAAAAAAGTATTAGACAGAGCTTTGAGTTCGCTGAAGGGTGTGTCCTTCAAAATGACCCCATTGGCATGTCAGGAGTGATTCTTCACATTCTACCTGCCAGCTACATCTGCTTTTTTTAAAAAAAATATTTAGAAGGCAGAACTCTTGGAATCTTCCATTTTGACAGAGGTGAAATTTGTATTCAAGCCTCTTTTTGAACCTATGTGGAGTTTTGCAGGTTTTTACTAAGAAGATAGCAAGTATTGATTTGTAATTGGCAAAAATAGCCTCCAGGAGTTGAATTACAAAATTATACAAATTGAGAGAGCTGGGCTTTCTTACACCAAAATGTCACCACTACCCACAGGCTGTTGTTGTTAGGTACCCCTGAGTCGGTTGGGACTCATAGTGACCCTGTGTACAACAAAATGAAACACTGCCTGGTCCTGCTCCATCCTCTCAATCGATGTTATGCTTGAGCTCATTGTTGCAGCCACTGTGTCAACCCATCTTGTTGAAGGACTTCCTCTTTTTCGCTGACTCTCCTATTTACCAAGTATGATGTCCTTTTCCAGGGATTGGTCCCTCCTGATAACATGTCTGAAGTATGTGAGCCAAAGCCTTGCCACCTTTGCTTCTAAGGAGCATTCTGGCTGTACTTCCAAGATAGATTTGTTCATTCTTCTGGCAGTCCGTGATATATTCAGTATTCTTCGCCAACACCATAATTCAAAGGCGTCAAATCTTCTTCGGTCTTCCTTATTCATTCTGCAGGTTTCACATGCATATGAGGTGATTGAAAATACCATGGCTTGAGTCACTAGGAGCCCTGGTGGTGCAGTGGTTAAGAGCTACGGCTGCTAACCAGAAGATCGGCAGCTTGAATCTACCAGCTGCTCGTTAGAAACCCTATGGGGCAGTTTTACCCTGTCCTGTAGGGTCGCCATGAGTCGGAATTGATTTGACAGCAGTGGTTCAGAAAGTAGAGGTACTGCTTTCCTACTGGAAAAAGCACTGCACTAGAAGTCCTAAAACCTGAGTTTTAGGTTCACCTCCGGTAACTAGCTAGCATTAAATAGCCATTTACCCTCTCTTGGCCTTAATTTCTTTACTTACCCTATTTTCCTGAAATCCCCACTCTGCTCAAACAAGCTTGCTTTGTGTATCCTTATTCTTACAGAATATCCACATTTCCTTTTCTGTGTCTTTATCAGGAGTTTTGATTCATCATGGATAATCTGTCATCAGAAGAAATTCAGCGGAGGGCTCACCAGGTTACTGATGAGGTAAATATTTTTCTTGGATTAAGTAATGAATTCTATGTCAGTTTTCACAGTGAGGGGATGAGAGGACCTTCCTAGAAGATAATTTTATTCTTCTTCCTCCTCCCTTTATATCCAAGATCACATTTGCACCTTAGTGCCATTGGTGGTTCCTTTTTTTAACTCACCAAAACTAAATAAGTGAAAACAATTTGTATGATTTTTGTAGATAGTCTTTACTTATCAGTTACTTGGAATTCTAAACCTTCTTTTTGTATTTAACAGGATTTTCTAATATCTGTATAGTATACCTAGATTTTTATTTACATTAAATTTTTATGTACCTGATTCATGCCACTTTCTAAATTTTTTCCTGGTAGGAAGATCTAAAGATCACCTTGTAAGAAGAAAATAACTAAAATTATAGTGATCAACTTTCTCTCTCTTTTTTTTTTAATCCATTTTTTGAATTGAGGTGAAATTCACATAACATACAATTAACCATTTTAACGTGAACAATTCATTGGTGTTTAATGTATTCACAATGTCGTACAACCACAGCTCTCTCGTTTCAAAACTTTTTCGTTACCCTATAAAAGCACCCTGTACCCATTAAGGAGTCACTCCCCATTTCGTATCCCCCCAGTCTCCGGGTAACCTCTAATGTGCTTTCTGTTTCTATGGATTGGCCTATTCTGGATATATCACATAAAAGGAATCATGCAATATGTGACCTTTTGTGTCTGGCTTATTTCACTGAGTATAATGTTTCTGAGGGGTAACAGGTATCAGTACTTAGTTCTTTTTATGGCTGAATAATATTCCATTGGCTATATGTACCACGTTTATCCATTCATCCATTGATGGATCTTTGTTTTGTTTTAAAGGGAGGGATAGGCTAGCAATTTTTAAAGAGGGGGTAGGTTAGCAGTTTTTAAAAATAAGAGTAGAATTATCAGTATAGCCTATGATCAGATTTTTGTTGTTACATATTTTGCAATGTTAAAAAAACTCTCTTTTTTTTAATCTAGTCTCTGGAAAGTACAAGGAGAATCCTGGGTTTAGCCATTGAGGTAAGAAAGTATTTAATCATTGAGTTAAGTATAGAAACTGGATAGGGAGGGATCCTGATACAACTAGCAGGAGGTCCCTCGTCTCTCTGCTTGCTTCTGTCTTTTATGTCTCAAAAGAGATTGACTTAAGACACAACCTAATCTTGTAGATTGGTGTTAACAGTCGGGAAGGTATTACATCAATATGCTTTATGATTTGAAGCTAGCAATTGCTAAGATTGTCAAACCATGTGCTAATGGGCTGTCTTAGTTATCTAGTGCTGCTATAACAGAAATACCACAAGTGGATGGCTTTAACAAAGAGAAATTTATTCTCTCAGTCTAGGAGACTAGAAGTCCGAATTCAGGATGTCAGCTCCAGGGGAAGGCTTTCTCTCTCTATTGGCTCTGGGGGAAGGTCCTTGTCATCAATCTTCCCCTGGTCTAGGAGCTTCCCAGCGCAGGGATCCTGGGTCCAAACAACACGCTGCTCCTGGCATTTCATTCTTGGTGGAATGAGGTTCCACATCTCTCTGCTTGCTTCTCTCTTTTATATCTCAGAAGAGATTGACTAAAAATACAACCTAATCTCATAGATTGAGTCCTGCTTCCTTAACGTAACTGCCTCTAATCCTGCCTCATTAACATCACAGTGGTAGGATTTGCAGCATACAGGAAAATCACATCAGATGACAAAATGGTGGACAGTCATTCAGTATTGGGAAGCATGGCCTTGTTAAGTTGACACACATTATTGGGGAACACAATTCAATCCATAACATGGGCCTTTTCTATTTTCCCCTTTGGCAGTATAGAATATGACAGGGAAGATCAATTCCCCATGAATTTGTGACTTAATTATTTCATGCAGGGTTAATATGTTAAAATGTGTTGGTTTAAGACTACTAGTTATGTTTGTAGCTCTAATCCACTGAGAACTTGGATTTCTAAATGATTCTGTCTTGCTATTTGTCAGCCCTCATAGTTTTTGTTTTGTTTTGTTCTATTGGCTTTTTTTTTTTTCTTTTAGTCTCAGGATGCAGGAGTCAAGACCATGACTATGCTGGATGAACAAGGGGGTGAGTTGAGGTCGTTGGCAGAAACTCTTGATTTGACTTATGCCAAAAAACCCTATCAAATTAACCATGTAAAAAGTTCAATGGTTGGGAGTATCTTCCATTTGTAAGATCAAGGAGTGATATGTTTATTTCTGTTCTTCTGATTTGAGTTATATCATTTTCATTGCCTATTTGGGGTGGGGAGGCAACAATGCCCAATTGTATGACAAGTATGTGTTAGGCCAGCAGGGCACTGATGAGCTTATTGTGTGCATTTGGTTGTATGCACATTAGACATTATGATACTCTTGTATCATCCTCAGAGAGCAAATTAAGCCCTAAGACAGGTCTAGATTCTAGTGAGCTTGGGAACATCCAATATGAGTTGGCCCTGAGTAATCTGGTTTAGTTTTTATTAGTCTTGTGACAATCCTCAGGTTTTGAGCCTATTAAATGATAGATGATGTTCGGGAGCTGGTCTGGTCTAGTACACTTAATTTGGTTCCAAGAATGATCTTGAAACAAATCCTCGTGTACTCCTAGTCTACAAATTTCTCAAGAACAAATCTTTCCACAATAAGAGAGGCCAGGTACCCTCAGGATCAGTATGTGAGAGATTGTTTGCATGCTGGACAGCTTGTAGTATCTTCTGGTTCTGCTGTACTCACTGCAGTGGGTCATTGGTAGATTCAGGGTTGAACTTTACTAATCCATAATACCATTTTTTGGCTGGCATTATGACTGTAACACAAAATTTAACTTCTACAACTTGCTTACAGAACAACTAAAGCGTATAGAAGAAGGCATGGACCAAATAAATAAAGACATGAAAGAGGCAGAGAAGACTTTAACAGAACTCAACAAATGCTGTGGCCTTTGTGTCTGCCCATGTAATAGGTGAGTTGATAAATCAAGACCTTTAAAAATATAATTTAGATTCACTTTCCCTTCTTCCTCCTCTCACCAAAGAAAGTCGGAAGTGTGACTTTGTTAAGTAGGCTTAAGGTATTTCTCCTTTGGGCAAATTGAGCTTTTCATGTGGACATGTTCAGTGAAAACCATGGCTTAAATGACTGATTCTTGGATTAAGTACCAGTTTCATTTTTTATAATACGTGAAGAGGTTTGGAAATACATCTGTATGATACAGAGCAGGATGGAGTTAAGCGTCTTTTCCCTTCAAATGAAAAGTATTAAACAATATAGATATTTTGTGTTAGGCACTTGAGGGATAGCTAAGGAGTAAAGAACTTGGACCCTGTGTTAAAAAACTTACTTTGTGGTTGTATAGATGAGAAAGAATAGCAAAAAATAAAAGATCATATGTAATCCAGTGCTAGATCATGTGATAGAGGCTAAGGTTAGGGGCACAGTGGAGAACATCTTACAGAAGAGATAGGACTTAGGACTTGGGTTGGGCTTTGAATGATTAGGAGGATTTGCATGAACATGGAGGAACTGACGGGGCATTTCCTGTGGAAGAATCAGCATAAACAAAGATTAAGGAGGAGTTTGACTTAACTGACCTGAATGATTCAGATAGATGAGAAGTGGAAACTAAGATATAGGTAGGTGGTAGATGAGCTTGAATGCCAAACTAAGGAGTTGATGGACTAGAATGGAGTTTAAAATGCACACCAGGAGAAAAGTTTGAACCTTTTGTAGTCTAGGCTCGTGAGGCAGAACTTTGTCAGTGAGATTAGAGGAAAGAATAAGTCAAAGAGAGTTAATTTTAAATCAAATGACTCTATCAAATGTAAAGAAGGAAGAATCAAAAACGACTCTGAAGAGTTGGTGTCTCTAGTAAACTAGGATATGAAGAGTATCCCAGTGACATAAATGGTGGGGTTGAAAAAGAAGAGGGAGAGGCTTTGGAGAGTAAGGGTAGTCCCAGCAATTAGAGATGGCTGCTTTAAATACAATGCATTATGTAGTAGAGTCTTTAAACTATTTGTATATAGGATATGAGATTATGCTTGACACAAAGGAATTCATTTTTTTTTTTGGTGACTCCATTGTGAATATTTAAATCCTCAATGATGTTGACAACATTAAATGTATTCAGACCAAGGTGAGGTTGGGACTAAGGCAGTTAACGATTATCTTTTCTTCTGTTGGAAAGAACTAAGTAATCTTTATTTTAAAAAGTAACTAACAGAACAACTGCTTTGAACTTTACCCTTAGTTGAAACAATGTCTGGAGATTGAATGATTATTTTTACTGCTGAAAATTCATTTTTAAAGAGCTTTACTGTGATAGATTGAATTGTGTCCCCCCAAAATATGTGTCAACTTGGTTAGGCCATGATTCCCAGTATTGTGTGGTTGTCCTCCATTTTGTGATTAGGGTGGGATTGTAACACCCTTACTAAGGTCATATCCCTGATACAGTGTAAAGGAGTTTCCCTGCGGTGTGGCCTCCACCACCTTTTATCTTACAAGAGATAAAAGGAAAGGGAAGTGAGCAGAGAGTGGGGGACCTCATACCACCAAGAAAGCAGTGCCAGGAGCAGAGTGCGTCGTTTGGACCTGGGGTTCCTGCATGGAGAAGCTTCTAGTCTGGGGAAGATTGATAAGAAGGCTGACAGAGAGAGAAAGCCTTCCCCTGGAGATGACCCCCTGAATTTGGACTTTTAGCCTGCTTTATTGTGAAGAAATAAATTTCTCTTTGTTAAAGCCATCCACTTGTGGTATTTCTGTTACAGCAGCACTAGATGACTAAGATATACACAAACATTAGTACCTCTGTGTCTCAGCTGGTCTGGTAGATTAACCAAGAGTGGCATAAAAAGATTTACAGACTCTTAGTATTTTTACTCCTTACAGGAGTTAGGGTGGAGGAGCTTTTGATATATTGTCATACTTTTCAGATAAGTGTTTTCATGTGACAGCATTTTCTGTGCCATTTTTACTAGAGAAAATACATTTAAGTTACTTGTTGGCCAACTTTAGTGTTGGTTTGAGGATATGAGAAATTAAGATTTGACAGTTTCTTCCTAGTTTTATTCATTAGCTTCCTATTCTAAGACAAATCCATTGACCTGTTTCTACCTATGTCGACTCTGAAAATTTGTATTTTAATAACTATGACTTGTCTGCCAGGGTTTAGCAGATTACTTTAACCAAACAGGTTGTAAATGGCACAGATTATTTGACTCAAAGTCTTAGCTATGTTTTGAAAACTTACTTCATGTGCCTTTCTCCTGTGTTCCATGTTGACTCTTGGAAGAGTACAGAGGAGAGAAAGTCTAGAAGAGCAAGCAGGAAGAGATCCTCTTTAGAACCTGGAGCAAGGTCAGCTCTGAGTCAGAGGCTGATAAACAGAAAGAGCAGTGAATCCTGAGGTGGTCTAATATCATAGACAGTGGTCAGTGGAGCTACAGAGGGATTCATCTTATTTCCCTTTGTGTATTCCAGCCAAGCATAGGCAAGATTTTCTTGGAAAATCGTGAGAGAGAAGATAGAGTATGGCCCTGCTTTGAAGCAGTCTTCAGCCTCTTACCTAGTGGGTCAAGAGAAGGTGTGTCTTAACAGATGGAATCAGGGAGACTGCTAAAACAGAATGGTTGTTCCCTGAAGAGGACAGAGTAATTTCTTGTCCTCAGCTCTACCTCCTATCATACCTGCCAGTATCTTGCTCTTTCTAATCTTACCTGCTAATCTGTGTTTTGTTTAGGCTGATCACATAAATAGCATTGACATGAGCTTCTCCAAGGCCCACAAAGGGCGTTTGTGTATTGCTAGTACTACTATGAGTAGCAATAACAACCCAGGTTCACAGTTCTGTATATGTAATTTGGAAATCTAAAAAGCTCTGAAGGCCAACAGTTTTTTTTTTTAATCCCGTAATTTGGTGCCACAACTCATTAAACTTTAAAATGTGACCTGAACGGAAGCTATTTATAGTCTGTATTTATCATAGTGTAAATATTAATTTGTTTTGCTGCAGAAATATTAATGTATTTGATTATGTGGTACTGTTCAAAGTATCTGACATCCAAGAGTTTGAGGTGAGGGTTGTGAGCCTGTATAATAATTTAAACTCTTTCTATTCTAAGCACATTAAATTTAACCCTCACAGTAACATTAATGTAAGATAGGTTTTCTTTTTATTATCATTTTGCATATGGGGAAACGGAGGCATACAGACGCACTAGCAAATGGAAGAGCTGGAATTCAGAACCAAGCAGACTCAAGCAATAAGACAAGAAAAAGAAATGAAAGGTATCCAGATTGGAAAAGAAGAAGTAAAATTATCTCAATTTGTGGATGATATGATCTTATATATAGAAAATCCTGAAGAGTCCACAAGAAAACTTCTAGAGCTAATAGAGAAATTTAGCAAAGCTGCAGGATACAAGGTCAACAAACAAAAATCAGTTGGGTTTCTATACACCAGCAATGAGAACTCTAAAAGGGAAATTAGGGAAACAATCCCATTTAAAATAGCATCTAAGAGATAAAATACCTAGGAATAAATCTAACCAGGGACATGAAGGACTTACACAATGAAAACTATAAAACACTGCTGAAAGAGATTAAAGAAGACTTAAATAAATGGAAAGATATTCCATGTTCATGGATTGGAAAATGTAATATTGTTAAGATGTCTATACTACCCAAAGTGATCTATGCATTCAACACAATCCCTATCAAAATTCCAACAGCCTTCTTTACAGAAATAGAAAAGCCAGTCCTCAACTTTGTATGGAATGGCAAGGGGCCACGAGTAGCTAAAGCAATGCTGAAAGAGAAGAACAAAGTAGGAAGACTGACACTTCCAGATTTAAAAACATACTATACAGCTATAATAATCAAAACAGCTTGGTACTGGCATAACAATAGACATATAGACCAGTGGAATAGAATTGAGAATCCAGAAATAAACCCACACATCTATGGTCAACTGATTTTTAACCGGGGTACTAAGTCCATTCTATGGGGAAAGAAGAGTCTCTTAAATAAATGGTGCTGGAAAATTGGATTTCCACATGCAGAAAAATGAAACAGGATCCATGCGTAACACCACACACAAAAACAAATTCAAAATGGATAAAGGACCTAAATGTACAGATTAAAACCATAAAATTCTTAGAACAACAAGCAGGGGGAACAATGTCAGGCCTAGGTCTTAAGAATGGATTGTCTAACATAATAAAAGCACAAACAGCAAAAGACAAAATAAATGGGACCTCATAAAAATTAAACACTTTTGTTCATCAAAAGCCTTTACCAATAAGCATAATAAATATTTACGCACCCAACGACAGGGCTCCAAAATACATAAACTCTAACAGCATTGAAAAGAGAGATAGACAGCTCCATGATAATAGGAGACTTCAACATACCACTTTCGGTGAAGGACAGAACATCCAGAAAGAAGCTCAATACAGATACGGAAGAGCTAAATGCTACAATCAACTAACATGATCTCACATACACTGAACACCGCACCCAACAGCAGCCAAGTATACTTTCGTTTCCAATGCACATGGAACATTCTCCACAACAGACCACACGTTAGGCCATAAAGCAAGCCTTAACAAAATCCAAAGCATCGAAATATTACAAAGCATCTTTTCTGACCATCAAGCCATAAAAGTAGAAATCAGTAACAGAAAAAGCAAGGGAAACAAATCCAAACACATGGAAACTGAACAACACCTTGCTAAAAACTTCTGGGTTATAGAAGAAATTAAGGATGGAATAAAAAAAATTCACAGAATCAAATGAGAATGAAAACACATCCTACCAGGACCTTTGGACACAGCAAAAGCAGTGCTCAGAGGTCAGTTTATAGCAATAAATGCACACGTCCAAAAAGAAGAAATGGCAAAAATGAAAACATTAACTCTACAACTCAAACAAGTAGAAAGAAAGCTGCAAAAGAAGCTCTCG